CCGGAAGGAGGAAGGCCGGGCCCCCCCCGCCGGTGCCAGCATGGAGCCGGCCGGAAGGGCAGCGGACGTCCTGAAGAATGCAGGCGGCTTCCACGTATTGTCGTCCACGTGGGAACCCACGCCGGGGAAGCAGCCTCGGGCTGCTGGGCCTGAAGCCAGCGGGGCAGGCGGACCCTCCTGGAGGCCGTGGGGCGGGAGGTCGTGCAGGAGCTCAGCCTCCCGGGCGGGTCCCCTCCCTTCCCGCCTGACACCCAAGGCCATCCTGGACCCATGGACTCCGGGACCGTGCAGGGAGGGAGACCCTCGCTCGTGCTGGGCCCTGCATTTCCTGGTGGCGGCCGAGGGTCCTGCAGGCCTGTGGGTGCCTCTGCTCCTGGGCTGGGCGCTGCCACAGGCGGCTGGCTGCAGGGTGGGAGAGAGCTCACCCTGGTGAGGATGAGGATTCTCGGGACCCCCTTGGTCACTGCCACCTGGAGGGCACCCCTCTGTCTGCTCCTGGGCCGGGGGTAAATGGGTGCCCAATAGCCTTCTAAGCCCTGCCAGCCAAACCCCACACAGTGAGGAGGAGGGGAGGAGGAGTGTGGAGATGGGGCAGGCTGGGCAGGTGCTCCAGAAAACACGCCCAGGTTCCTGGGACCCGGGGTGGGGGCAGATGCCTGGTGAGAGCAGGAGGGCCGGCGGAGGCTTGGAGGCTTGGAGGGGCCAGCCAGGGCTGAGCTGAGGTGGGCAGCCTTCACCTCAGGCTTGGAGACCCAGAGGGCCAGCCAGGGCTATACTGGCTGGTGGACAGCTTTTGCCTCAGCACCTCTGTCTCAGCCGCTTTGGTCCTGTGGAACCTTGGCCTCAGGCAGGACAGGCACTGCAGGCCTAGGGTAGATGGCTGCCCCTCCTCCCCGAGTGCTAAGAGCCAGTCTGCAAGGTCGGGGTCTATGGGGGTCCCTCGGGGCAGAGCCCTGTGGCACAGCAACGTCCCCATCTCCATCCTCACGGCCACCCTCCCCACAGGGCCTGGTGGGGCAGAACCCGTGGCTTCAGGAGCAGCTGTCTCAGCTGCTGGTCTCCCACGGTGACCCAGTCACGGCCGCCCGGTGTGCCATGGGCCTCTCACTGCCCGAGGAGCGGCTGCCGGCTGCGGTGGCTGTGGAACTCCGCCAGCTCAGTCTCCAGGGGAGGTGAGCTCCGCCAGGTGACCCCAGCTAGGGGTGGGTTCCGCCCAGGATGGCCCTTACCCTTGGGACGACAGCTCACCAATCTGCACGCCAGTGGCTTGAGAATTAGAAATCAAGACAAAACAAAGAGCACAGCTATACACAGAGCAGACAAGACAGCAGGGCCCAGCCCTCCTACTCTGCTGCCAGCCCACAGACTCTGCAGCCAGATCCATGGCCAGCCCAACCCACGCGGGACCCTGAGGAGCAGGCTGCCCTATGGTCTGGGAGGGCAGCCACTGGGAGGAGAGGCAGGAGCAGGGGTCACGCTGGGCTGGACTGAGCCGGCGTGGGAGGAGGAGCCACGACCCGAGATGCCCCCACCAAACGCCCCGAACGCTCCCCTCCTGCTCCGAGGTCAGAGTGAGTGGGGGACCAGGGACGTGGGGGCGCTACCAGCTCTGCTCCTCCCAGGGCAGCTGAGGCTGACTCGAGGCTGGAGGTGAAGGACGTGAAGGACCGTTACTACCAGCTGCCCATCCCCAGGGAGAATATCCACCTCCTGGCCTCGTGGGAAGACCTGACCAGATATGAGGGTGCACTCCTGCAGGTGAGCCCCTCGGCCGCTGGGGCAGCGCCCGGTGGTGGGATCCCCCTGCCAGGCATTGGAGGAGCATCAGGAGCATGGCATTCGGAGAGGCAAGGCCTCTAGGCGTGGGCCCGCCAGGTGCCCCAGGGCTGCTGTGAGGGCAGCCATTCCCCGCGCTGTGTTGCTGAGACTCCGGGATGCTGGGTGCTGGGCGCTGGGTGCTGGGTGCTGGCATTTACCCAGTCCTGCCAGCCGGTGGAAGGTGCCGTGGGATCCCCGTTTTACAGATGGGGCACGAGACGGGGGTGCATCCTGACACGGGCACTGCCTTTGGCACTAGGCCAGGCCTCCCTCTCTGGTCCAGCCACAGAAAGCAAGGGGCAGCTGGGGCACTGGCCTTAGTGCCCCCCAACAGCCCAAGCCCTACAAGCATGCAGGGGTGCAGGGGTGTCTCCCTGAAGCCCAGGCTCACATTGCTGCTCAGACCCTCCAGGCTGCCGTCGCTGCAGAGCCGAGTTGGCCCTGACGGTCACATCTGCCCCTTTCTGCCCACAGCCCCACCAAGTAGTTGGTGTAGACCTGGAGTGGACACCTGTGTTCGTTGCTGGGGGCCGGCCTCGGCCGTCACTCCTGCAGGTGGCCGTGGAGGGCCACGTGTTCCTTCTGGACGTCCTGGCACTCTCGCAGCCACCAACAGGGCAGGGAGCCCAGGCCTTCTCCCGGCTGGTGGCCCAGCTCCTCTCGGACCCATCTATCACCAAGCTGGGTGAGTGAAGCCCTGCGGCCCCCTGCCCAGTCCAGAAGGGAAGCAGCCCCCACCTCTGCCTGACCCTTCCCTCTGTGCGCCCCGGGGAGGGTGCTGGGTGCACCCTGGGGTCCGGGGACAGTGCTGTCCCTGCCTGCGGGCGCCCCTCCCATGATGGTTCCCGCCCACAGGCTACGGGATGGTGGGGGACCTGCAGAAACTGGGCGCATCCTGCCCCGCCCTGGCCCATGTGGAGAAGCAGATTCTGGGTGGCGTGGACCTGCTGCTGGTGCACAGACAGGTGGGCACCCACTGAGCCGCTCACACGACGTCGGGTGGGCCTGGGTTTTGAGGGCTGCTTGGGGCCCCTCCACACCTTCCCAGTGGCCCTGGGCTTCTCCTGCCGGATTCCTGTCAGCTCAGCCTTAGTCACCACAGTCCCCGAGCAGAGCCTGGCAGAGGTGGATCTCGCGTCCCCAGGGAGGGAGCAGAGCCTCCTGGCGCGGGCATCCCTGAGCCCCTGTGGGGCCCTTATCTGGTGTGAGGGCACCTTCCCTCGGACCTGAGCCCCGGGTTCCACTTGGAGGAGCTCTGGGAGGGAGCCCCTGGAGGTGAAGGTGTGAACCCGGAGCTGGCCCCGGTGTGCAGTACTTGCAGCCTGCGACCCCCACGTGGAGCCTGCCCTCAGATGTGTCACTCCTCCCTGTCTCTCCTGCACGGCCGCTGGTGGAGGGGGGCGGGGCCTCCTCCGGAGTCCCACAGAGCCGGTGTGAGTGGGCGCGGTGAGCTGTGCTCCCTCCAGGGCCAGACGCATCACCCTGCAGGGCACTGTCTTAGCAGATGCGGGTGGCAAACATGCCAACCTCAGGCACGGACAGGGCCAAGGGGCTGAGGGGCCTGAGCCTCCTGGTGCAGCAGGTGCTGGGCACAGCCCTGGACAAGACGCAGCAGCTGTCCAACTGGGACCGGAGGCCGCTCTGTGAGGAGCAGCTCATCTATGCAGGTGTGTGGGGTGGTAGGTGGGAGTGACCCCTCCTCATGCCCCACGGCCCTCCCACCCTCTGCCCCAGGAGGCTGAGGCCGACTCCCCACATAGCTGCCGATGCCTGCTGCCTGCTGGACGTGCACCAAGCCCTGTGCAGAGAGCCTGCCCGCTTCCACCTGTCGGAGGACCTGGCCGGGAGCCGGAGGCCCAGGCACACAGAGAGACCAGGGGCTCAGAAGCCACCCGGCTTGCAGAAAGCATCAGCCTCAGCCGCACCCAGGCAGGTGGGTGAAACCCCGCAGGGTCCATTTGTCAGGATTCTTGGGGAAGGAGGTCCCCGTCCATAAACCAAGGACCTGCACAGAGACAAGGCCACTGGGTCAGAGTGTGTGGAGGGGGCCCCGCTCCTCCACACTGGACCCCCGGCCCCTGGAGTGAGAGGGGAGCAAAGTCCCCGTGAACTACCTGCATGACTGTCATGGGGGCTGCCCTTGCCTGGGGGGCCACTGCTCAGGAGGCAGCCGTGCCCCTGAGTGCCCCAGTCCCCTCCTGACACTGGGCCTGGCAACCTCCTCCCATGGCCCAAGGCAGCATCTAGTCCCCTACCCATGATCTCCACCCCTCTGTCTATCCCCCTCCCTGTGATCCCCACCCCTCTGTCTATCCCCCTCCCCGTGATCCCCACCCCTCTGTCCAGCCCCCTCCCCATGATCCCCACCCTCTGTAGGGCACACGTGCCACCCCAGACACACACGTGGAGACCCCCCAGCACCGGCACTGGAGCCCCCTGGGGATGGTTTCGTTGCGTGTTGTCTGCATTTCTGCTGTTTTATGCACAGCACACACAGTGCTCCTCTTCTGAAGATAAAACAGAGACAGAGCTGGCCACACAGCCTCAGGGCCCTCGCTCTCTGAGGCTGTGAGGGGCTGGGTGGGGTGACCGTGGGACTGCTGACCAGGGCTTCACCGCAGGTCCCTGTGGCTGCTGTGGCTGAGGGCGCCGCCCCTCAGGTCCCGGCCAGGGCCTTCCGCGTGGTGTGTGACAACATGCTGCAGGGGCTGGCACGGAGCCTCCGCTGTCTGGGTGTGGACGCACGCATGCTGGGCAACGGTGACGACCACCGCAGGGCGGCCGAGGTGAGCCTGCGGGGAGGGTCTTGGGACCTCCTAAGGTGCGGCTGCCCCTAGCACAGGTGTTCCCACCCCCAGCACCAAACTCCTACCTCCAGCTCATCCACGGCTGCCAGCTGTGCCAGGCAAGCTCTGGGAACAGGACGGGGTGGCCAAGGATGGAGCGGCTGGGGGCCAAGTGGCTGAGATGGTCCCAGCCTCAGCCCTCATTGCCCTACAAAAGGAATTTACAGATGGAATTGACACTGCTAATCAGTTGACCTTAAAATAGAGCCTATCTTATTTGGGTGGGCCCAAGGTAATCACTTGAGCCCTTAAGAGCAGAAACGGGGCCGGGTGCAGTGGCTTATGCCTATAAACCCAGCACTTTGGGAGGCTGAGGCGGGAGAATGGAGGGAACCCAGGAGGCAAGTTCCACAGCTGTTTGTACTTTCTGTTCTGAGAGGTCACTGGAGGCCAGGAGTTCGAGACCAGCCTGGCCAACATGGTGAAACCCCATCTCTACTAAAAATACAAAAATTAGCTGGGCGTGGTGGTGGGTGCCTGTAATCCCAGCTACTCAGGAGGCTGAGGCAGGAGAATTGCTTCAACCCCAGAGGGAGAGGTTGCAGTGAGTCAAGATTGCACCACTGTACTCCAGCCTGGCTGACAGAGCAAGACTCCATCTCAAAAAAAAAAAGCCAGGCAAGGTGGCTCACGCCTATAATCCCAGCACTTTGGGAGGCCGATGCGGGCGGATCACGAGGTCAGGAGATCGAGACCATCCTGGCTAACATGGTGAAACCCCATCTCTACTAAAAATTAAAAAAAATTATCCAGGTGTGGTGGCGGGCGCCTGTATTCCCAGCTACTCGGGAGGCTGAGGCAGGAGAATGGCGTGAACCCAGGAGGCGGAGCTTGCAGTGAGCTGAGATCCGGCCACTGCACTCCAGCCTGGGCGACAGAGCGAGACTCCGTCTCAGGAAAAAAAACAAAAACAAAAACAAAAACAGAAATGGAACGCAGAAGACAGGGAGATTCAAAGCACAGGAAGGATTCGATGTCTCATTGTTGGCTTGAAGATGGAGGAGGTCACACAAGGAAACCTCAGTCCAACAGCCACAAGCAGCCAGATTCTACCAACACCTGACCAAGCCCAGAAGCAGGTTCTTCCCCAGAGTCTCCTAAGAAGATCCCGGCCACTAACACTGTGATTTCAGCCATGAGACCCTAAGCAGAGAACCTGATCGAGTCCACCAGATTTCTGGACTTCCACAGAACGATGTTTTAAGCTGCTAAGCTTTTAGTAAATTGTGACAGCAGCATTAGAAAAATAATATGGTGGTTGGGTGCAGTGGCTCACGCCTTAATCCTTGCACTTTGGGAGGCCGAGGCAAGTGGATCACGAGATCAGGAGTTCAAGACCAGCCTGGCCAAGATGGTGAAACCCTGTCTCTACTAAAAGCACAAAAATTAGCCAGGCATGGTGGCAGGTGCCTGTAATCCCAGCTACTCGGGAGGCTGAGGCAGAGAATTGCTTGAATCCGGGAGGCAGAGGTTGCAGCAGTGAGTGGAGATCATGCCACTGCACTCCAGCCTAGGTGACAGAGCAAGACTCTGTCTCAAAAAAATAGAAAAAAAAAAAAAAAATGGATTGTGGTACCAGGAGTGGGGTGCTGGTGTAACACACAGCTAAAAATGCGGAAGTAGTTTTAGAATCAGGTAATGAGTAGAGGGTGCAAGAGTTCTGAGGATCACAACAGGAAAGGCCTAGAGAGCCTTGAAACAGACTGTAGAAATACGGACATTAAAAGTGTCGAAGGTTGAGAAATAGGAGCGGGATGCTGGTAAATGCAGCTGAAACAGACGGAGCCGAGATGGTTAGACCTAAGCCACAACAGTGTGAGGGTGTCAGACCAAAGCCAAATTGACCAGGTTTCTCCCTTAGGGGAGTAAGAAGTGGGGTTAGTTGGTATTTATTCTTCATGCAGAGGCGGAATCCATCTTGAACTCTCGATTTGTTTAAATACTAGTTATGGGTAATCTTACCCATGTTTTTTCTAATTACTTTTATTCTCTTTCCTTCAGTAA